AAGTGTAGATCAGAGAAGTGTGGTGGAGGCACAAGAAACAGCTGCTGCTGAGTTTAGTTCCTTAAGTCTAGATGATCCAGAACTGTGGGATCCTCTTGAGCAGTAGCCTGAGGGATTTGCTGTGGCCCATGCAGTACAAGGAAGTGAAAAACTTCATGTTCCCCAAAGACAATGAAAATAGAAGTTTCTATCCAACACATTACTGGTGTGAAATCCCCAATGGTGACAAAGTGGAGAGCCCATGGCTTATGTACTCAAAAAACCCAGAATGCTGCATATTGTTTTTGTTGCATACTCTTCCAGTCTAATGTTCCAGCCACACTGGGTTCCACAGGAACAAAGGACTGGAAAAATCTAGCTAGAAATCTGGCATGCCACAAGAAGGCAGCAAATCACCAGAGAGCATTCCATAGGTGGAAAGAGCTTGAGATGAGACGAAGGTTAAAGGCCACCATAGATGATCAGCATCAAGAGAAGATTGCATCAGAGTCTCTTTACTGGCAAAATGTTCCAAAAAGGCTCACTGCCATTGTGAGAATGCTTCCTACCCAAAACCTAGCACTACATGGCAGTTCAGATCAGCTGTATGTGCCAAACATGGAAACTTCCTTAAAACTGTGGAGCTGATGGCTGAGTTTGATGCTATACTCCAGAAGCATCTAAGAAGAGTCACCACCCAAGAAACGTACACACACCACTACCTGGGAAAAACAATTCAAAATGAGATCACACAGTTACTGGCAACAAAAGCCAAACAGAAGATTGTGGCAGATCTGAAGTCAGCAAGGTATTACTCCATTATTCTGGACTGCACACCGGACATCAGCCGAACAGAACAAATGACTTTAATGGTGCGTTTTGTAGCAACAACAGAACCTAGTGAAAATGTCCCTGCAATGGTGACTGTCAGAGAGCATTTTCTAGAATTTATTAACATTGATGATACTACAGGAGCTGGTATGACAAGTGTGCTTCTTAAAAAGCTGGAAGATATGGGATTGTGATAGCTGACATGAGAGGTCAGCTCTACGATAATGGTGCCAACATGAGAGGAAAGAACAGAGGAGAGCAGACACAGATCCAAGAGTTAAACCCTCAAGCTTTTTTGTCTCGTGCAGTTCTCATTCATTGCACTTGGTGGTCAGTGATGTAGCCTCAGCTTCTAGTGAGGCTGCTGAATTTTAATGTAATTCAAAGCATCTATGTATATTTCTCTGCATCAACTCATCAATGGTAAATTTTGCAGCAACGTCTGGGAACATCCTCTCAGACACTGAAACCACTGAGTGCCACATGATGGGAAAGTCGAGTGGAGATAAAGCCTATCAAACACCAAATTGGGAAGATAGATGATGCCATATTTGCCAATATGGAGGATAATGCTATGACAGGAACTGTTTATGGGAGAACAGTGGCAGAGGGAAATGAAATCACCAGAAACATACATAACTTCAAATTTCTGTGTGGCTTAGTGTTGTAGCATGACATACTGTTTGAAATAAATGTTGTAAGCAAGAAACTCCAAGGTGTTGACCTTGATATATCTGGAGCAATGGAACAACCGGACAAAGCAAAGTCATACCTACAGTCTTACTGGTCAGATGAGGGATTTCAAAACGTTCTGAAGAGCGCACGGAAGTTGGCAAAGGAACTTCACACTGAAGCTATTTTCCACCCATTCAAAAATACCAGAGAAGATGACGTTTTGATTACGAGGCACAGGATAATCCCATAAACGAGACCCCAAATAACAATTCAAAGTTAAATTTTTAACCAGATGCTAGATTATGCAATACAGTCAGTTGAAGAATGTTTCATGCAGCTCAAGGAACACAGCAGTACATTTGGGATGTTGTATGATATTCCAAAACACCTCACTATACCTGAAGAAGACCTACACCAGCAATGCAGGGCACTAGAGACAGTGTTGACACATGCGATATTGAGGCGAGTGATTTAGGTGATGAACTGAAAGCCCTTTCAAGATACATTTCAGCAGGATCAACTCCAAAGGCTGTTCTGGAATATATGAGCACAAATAAGATGGCCACCCTCTTTCCAAATGCTTTTGTTGCTCTGTGCATACTTCTAACACTTTCTGTAACAATTGCCAGTGGAGAATGCAGCTTCTCCAAGCTGAAGTTAATAAAAACACACCTACTCTCCACAATGACACAGGAGAGGCTAGTCGGCCTTGCAACCATCTCAATAGAGCATGAGCTGGCCCACACTGTGGACCTTCAGCAGGAAACAGTTCAAATCTTTGCAACCAAGAAGGCACGGAAAGCACCACCTTGATTATTCAGACACATAAAAATGCCAGTGTTTACTATGCAGACAAGAAAAGTTACATTTGCTGTTCAGGCGTTTGAAAGTCTATTTCCCCATGTTTATTCCACCCCACACCATTCCTCAGACGTTCTTGTCAACTGCTGGAAATGGCCCACCTTGATTATCACTAGAAAATGTTCCCCCCCCCCCCTCCCCGCTCGCCTGCTGGTAATATCTCACTTTAAGTGATCACTCTTGCTACAGTGTGTATGGTAATACCCATTGTTTCATGTTCTCTATGTATATAAGTCTCCCCACTGTATTTTCCACTGAATGCATCCGATGAAGTGAGCTGTAGCTCATGAAAGTTTATGCTAAGAGAAATTGGTTAGTCTCTAAGGTGCCACAAATACTCCTTTTCTTTTTGCGAATACAGACTAACACGGCTGCTACTCTGAAACCTGAAAGTTAAGTGTTAACTTAAAATGCCTTGTTCAAAAATTTTAAGATATTAGTCTCCTTTATTGGGGTAGGTAGCAGAGCAGTACCATGAGAGGAGTAGAACAGGAAGAAGGCAGAATTGAGACCTTTCAAAGTTTTGTCCCAAGTGAGGGGTCATGGGGGCATCATTTTAGCTCCCTGCCTCAAGTGCCAAAACGTTGTGGGCTAGCCTGTTTTAAGCCAATACTCTATACATCAGTCAGCCAAAATACATGCTCTTGTGGATCAGTACTAGTTCACCATAGTAAATAATTTGACAAATTTCACTTTAAAAAAATGTTTGCTTCATAATTTACGCCGTTGGGGAACAGAAACGGTTTGAGGCAACTAATGTAACAGAAGACAAGTTGTGAATTATGAAATCCCAACTCCACGAAATTTAAGGGCAAAATTTAAAAAAAAAAAAAAAAAAAAAAGACTTGAGACCAGGATTTCATGTTGAGACTTTTAAAAGATTAACAGAATTTAATTTTGCTTTTGACAGTGATGTACTTATACACACACACACTAAAGATTTACATGTTACATGTTTATCCTAGAAAGAATTTGAGAGTTGAAATATATTAATAGGCAAACAAGTTTGGATAAGTTTTCCAGTTGGAATTTAAGTTAGTCTTATTTAATAAACATTATTAAAGCAGACATTAGGAGAATCTAACTGAAATAATGATAGTGAAATAAAGTTTTAGAAATTTGAGGAGAATACTGATATGTGTTCTTACTTATTAATAAAGCAAGTTCTCTTTACAGAAGGATGATGGCAATTCTTTTATTGATGATCCTGCTTGAACTGACAAAACTCCAAATGGACAAAATGCCAATTGATTTCAGAAGTCACTGATCAAACGGTTTGAGCTAAGCTACTAAGGATGCCAAGTTGGGCTGTTGCAAGATCAGTGTTTGCATTTTTTCCTGAGTCAAAATGGCAGTTTATTTCAGCTGTGTTCATGTCCCTTCCTGTTCAGGAACATTCATACAAACAGGTTTTGTTTGCAGAAATGTTTGGGAAATGGCTGTTTCTACAAATTGTTTTTGTCTGTGCACAATACCTGTATTTACATGCAAAAAAACCAAAACAAACTTTCACTGTTTGTTTTTTGCTATTCCAGGTTAGTCATTTGTTATTTTATTTTAATTATCTTGTTTTCAAGAGTCTCAGTTCTTGAATCAGAGAGTAGAAGCTATCATCTGACTTTCCTGAACCCCCTCTTCTGGCCTTCCACCACCCTCAGCCTCTCCAACCTCATTATCAGAAGCAAGCTCCCCACAGACCAAGCCACACAAAACCAAAGTGGTACCAGACCCTTCCAGAACAGATGAAAAACCCATAGACCCATCACAACAATTATTAATGTGCAACACCAACTGACCCCAGTTGTTGGTGGGTGGGATCAAACCTGGGACTTCCGGAGCTTAGTGCATGCACCTCTACGGCATGAGCTAAATGCCAAACTACCTGTTAGCTAAGGCAGTCAAAGCTCTGTGTCTAAGTGATCTCATTGCCACTAGATGGAACAAAGCACCACACCCTGGAGGTGCGTGGGTTACAGCTGCTCCCCAAACACTCCTTTCAAGATCCATGAGCACCACATATGCCTACCACAACATATAGCATACCTTATCCAGTGCATTAAATGCCAAAGAACTATGTGCATGAAACCAGACAATCACTACCCTCTGAAATGAACTTCCACAAGAAAATGATAAAAGACAAACACCATATCACCTGTGAGTAAACACTTTTTCACAAAATGATCAATCCATACCTGACCTCTCAGTCCTCATTCTCAAGGAAATCTGTACTTCACCTTCAAAAGATGAGCCTGGAAGCTTAAATTCATTACTTTACTAGACACTAAAAATCAGATGGAATGGAGACACTGGATTTATGGCTTATTGACCCACTAATACTTCTTCGCTCCCTACCTTCTTCTCCCACCTATGACTGGAGTGGTGTTAATAGGCCATTTCACCTTGTTTAATGTAAGTAGCTAACATACATTTCAATCTGTTCTACCTTATATTTAGCTATGACACACTGAGTAGGTTTCCCAGACTTGAAGAAAAGCTCTGTGTAAGCCTGAAAGCTTGTCTTTCTGACCAGCAGAAGCTGGTCCAATAGCAGATATTACCTCACCCACTTTTTCTCTAGTGTGATTTAGGAGGCAGAATGCATACCATGAACAGAAAATAGTTCAAATGAAGATGTGATGGGTTGCTGTACTCACCACTAGATGGTGCTGCCCCCAGCAGTTTTGGAGATTAGCTCAATCAGGCTGACACCCCTTCCAGCAATTATACCCCATTTTCTCCTCTGCAGTTCATCTTTAGCTTTCAGAAGCCACAGCTGTCCTCTTCATGACTCAGTCCTCCAGCCAGGTCACTATTGTGGTTTCCCTTTCAGGAGCTGTTGGAGGCAGAGTACATCAAGCACAGATGGTGGGTAGCGTAGGTAGGGGAAGGCTGTGCCTCCCCCAACATCCTGGCATAGCCCTTCCCACGTTCTCCCTGAAGGCCCCCTTCTGCTTGCCCTTCCCCCTTGGCCCCAGCCCAGACAGGCTGGACTAGTGGCTCATCTTCATCTACTAAATACAAGCATACTGGGGCTGGGGTTAGGGTTGACAATCCTCCAAGATTAAGTTTTAATTAATTATGTAACATGATGAAACCTCTAGGATTACATCCAACCAAAATTGGCTACCCTAGCTAGGGTTAGAGGTGGCCATGGGGTTAGGGACCCACCACCAGAGGGGGCTCAGGCAGGGACTAGCCTCTCCTCTGGATTTGCCATGCTCTTCACTCCCTCCTCCCATGGAGTAACTTTGCAGTCCCAGAAACACTCCTCCCAGTGACTGTCTGCTGCCCCCCCTGCTTCCAGTTTCCTGTCTTTTGTAGAAGCCCTGCCTGTCCCTCACAAGTGAACTTCTCTTTAATTAGATGCCTCTTTAGGCCTACCCTAAAGCTCCCCTGTTTGCAGCCTACTTAGCAGATTGAGCCCACCTGGCCCAACTCAGTTCTGTGAGCACACTCCCTCACAAAAGAGTTCCCACAAGCCAAACCAAAGAACTAAAATTAATCCACAGACTATTAGGTGAATACTTGCAAACCACACACAATGCTTTCACAGAAATCAGGGGTGGTTTGCAATAGATTTGGAAGCAGGAAAGTGATTACACACAGTTATTTTAGGGTTGCAAAATAGATATACAAAGGATCAGCACACATTTCAAAACTTCTTGTACCTACAGTCAGCTGTTCAGCCAACATGCCTATTTCTGTGAGGGGCTGATTTTTTCAGTTGCTTATTGTTCTCAATGCAATATGAAGCTGTCATAAATATAAAGGGAAGGGTAAACCCCTTTGAAATCCCTCCTGGCCAGGGGAAAGCTCCTCTCACCTGTAAAGGGTTAAGAAGCTAAAGGTAACCTCGCTGTCACCTGACCAAAATGACCAATGAGGAGACAAGATACTTTTAAAAGCTGGGAGGAGGGAGAGAAACAAAGGGTCTGTGTGCCTGTCTATATTCTGTCTTTGCCAGGGATAGACCAGGAATGGAGTCTTAGAACTTTTAGTAAGTAATCTAGCTAGGTATGTGTTAGATTATGATTTGTTTAAATGGCTGAGAAAAGAACTGTGCTGAATAGAATAACTATTTCTGTCTGTGTATCTTTTTTGTAACTTAATGTTTTGCCTAAAGGGGTTCTCTATGTTTTTGAATCTAATTACCCTGTAAGGTATCTACCATCCTGATTTTACAGGGGGGATTTCTTTATTTCTATTTACTACTATTTTTATTAAAAGTCTTCTTGTAAGAAAACTGAATGCTTTTTCATTGTTCTCAGATCCAAGGGTCTAGATCTGTAGTCACCTAGGCAAATTGGTGAGGCTTTTTACCAAACCTTGTCCAGGAAGTGGGGTGCAAGGTTTTGGGAAGTATTTTGGGGGGAAAGACGTGTCCAAACAGCTCTTCCCCAGTAACCAGCATTAGTTTGGAGGTGGTAGCAGCCAATCCAAGGACAAAGGGTGGAATATTTTGTACCTTGAGGAAGTTTTGACCTAAGTTGGTAAAGATAGGCTTAGGAGGTTTTTCATGCAGGTCTCCACATCTGTACCCTAGAGTTCAGAGTAGGGGAGGAACCTTGACAGAAGCACTGATTAAACAGTGTTAAAATTCACTGTGAGCAAGAGAAAAGTAGTTCTGATGTAGCCTACATGCCTTCAACCTCTCTTCACTACAAACACTGTTCACAATAAATGCTTCCCATTTGACTGTTTCTTGCAAGCAAATGCAGAGCAAATTCTACTTACTATTTTATTATTAGGAGTAATATTATCATAGCACCTAGGAATCCTTGTCATGGACCAGGTCTCTGTTGTGCTGGCCATTACACCCAGAACAAAAGTTGGGGGGTGGGGGGCTGTGAATGTGAGCATCTATGACTGTTCTGGTCAAACCAGGATGCATGGTCATTTTAGTTGACCCAGCAGCTCAGTCCTGCATTTCTTACATAGGGAAAAAACACCTCATTGGATCAGTATTTGTTTTGCTTTGTAAAAGGGTGGCTGGAGAATATATTATGATCTTTTTATTGATTCAGTTGATTGTATCCTGTAAAACCAACCTTTTCCATTTCCAGTACCAAGACACTGCATTACATTACCATAGCAGCAATTTCCCTCACACAAAATTAACCCATTTATTAAACCCTTTTTGTGGTGCTGTTTATTATGAGTCGCCTAATTATCTTTTATTTCTACTTTTGTTTTCAATCTGTATAGTGTTTATATTAACGTTTGCGTTCAATGTTACTCTTACTTTCTTGCCAGGGACAAACTATATATAAGATTTATGATTTGAAAGAGTTCAAATGAAATCAATAAATGAAACAATCTCCAAAGCTCACACTTAAAAAGTGGTGATATTATTCACCAAGAAAGTGTGTGTGTGAAATATGCAATACTTTAGCTTGTGTATTTACACAATAGACTGAAATTACTTTGGATCAATTTTTTCCCTAGTTACATGCAAGTAACTTACATCAATGTAAATATAATCCATGCACATGTGTGGACAATATCTGGACCACTTTGTACAAATCATTTACCATCCTTTTAATTTTCCTTTTAAAAGTAAGCTTAGCATTAAAAATAGATGTTCATCTTCAATAACCAGAGTCCATGAGTAACTTTAGATAATTTTACATCTTTCCATTGTTGTTCCTGGAAACTGCTATAAACAGGATAAACTGATTCTTGGATTGAAATCAATAGAGCTGTATGTGCATAAAAAATTGTCCTAGTGTGATTACTCAAACCAGCACACTCTGTTCCCCAGGTCTGTGTACCTGTTTATCTGTGATAGTTCTAAAACATCCACCACCATAGTATCTACTGTAGGGTTTTGTAATGTTACTAGCTGGTGGGTTTTTTAAAATATATATATGTACCCCCAGTGTACTAAAGATAAGAACTCTACCACTATTAATAATAAAGGAGATTCTCCTCACTTCAAGTAGTAGAAACTGATGATTTTGGAAGAGATGGTCATAAGCATTGGTCTCTGATGTCACAGATGTGTGATTTTGCTGCCAGGATAACTGAATATAGGCAAAAAGAAAAGGAGTACTTGTGGCACCTTAGAGACTAACCAATTTATTTGAGCATGAGCTTTCGTGAGCCACAGCTCACTTCATGCTCAAATAAATTGGTTAGTCTCTAAGGTGCCACAAGTACTCCTTTTCTTTTTGCGAATACAGACTAACACGGCTGTTCCTCTGAAACCTGAATATAGGCAGTCTTGGATTTTACATCTTCAATGCTACATACTGCATTAGTCATTTCACTTAGTATTTCCCCTGTTCTTCTGTCTACCGTTATTAGTTAAGCACTGTGCAGCTGTCTCATTAAACCAATAGCAACATGTGCAAGGAGTCTGTTTTATGTCCATGTGCTTGTGTGCCTTTCCCTGGAAATAGTTTGTCAGTCAGTTCTGCAAGTAGTCCGTGGAACTTTTCACATGCAAAGGGAGAATGAATAAGTATTTTCCCTTGATGTACAAGCCCATCCACACCTCTCCCACAGCTTGATCACCACATAAGTTTATGTACATTTATGTCCTGAGTTTGGGGCAGAGAAAAGAATTCCTACCATGAGAAGGTCTTTTCTTGGTCATAGGAGTAAGCTACATTTTTATTAAGTGCAGGATTAGGTGCTTAAAACAAGAGGAAAAAAAGCAAAAAAGTAGGGCCAATGCTGTACTTCTTCAATTCATACTAAGTTTCCACAGGCAGAGGGTGGAGAATAAGTTGTGTACAAAGTGTGACCATAAAATTTAAATTTTAACTCCAGATTAGGTTAGTTAGTAGCCTGGTGATGGTTAAGGGCCCTGACTGGGGATCAGAGACCCACCTTCAACTCCATGTTCTTGCTGCTACAGAGCAGGGACTAGAATCTAGGTCTCCCATACCACTGCCTGGGGTATAGTGGAATCAGCACCCCACTGTGGAACTTTTGCAAGGTCATGCAGTGCAGAGGATGCCATTTTACTCCACAAAATGGTATTCTTCACACAGCCAGACTGCGTATGCACTACATGTATGAGGTCACACCACATAGAGGAAGCCATTTTGTACAGAGGTCATGTTGGTGGGGCTGGATCACAAAGTTCCATAAGAACCGGTATGTGCACATTCAGGCTTATACCACTGATCCCAAGTGAAGGCCCAATGCACTGGGCTGTTGGCAGGGGTGAAAGTAATGTGGTACGGGTTGGTACGGTGTACCGGTAAAAAGTAGCTGCCAGTACCAACCCGTACCGCTAACTTTAAAGAGCTGCTGCTGCAGCGCTTTAAGGACCCTGCTTAAAGTGCTCCTCAAGCAGCGCTTTAATGTCACTGCCCCTTTTGCGCCCCCCCGGTGGCCCTGCAGGGGCAGCGACAATCCGGCAGGGTCTCCGATGTGGGGTGCAAAAGGGGCAGCGATGTTAAACCGCAGGTCCTTTAAATCGCTGCTGGTGCCCTGGGTGGCACGGGCCAGGCAGCACAGATGGGCCCAGGCCCCAGATGGCAGAGCCAGCCCCATACCGCTAAGAGCTCAATTTTACTTTCACCCCTGGCTGTGGGTATTCTGAGGTGGATGAGTCTCTCTCTCTCTCTTTCACATTGACCAAAAATTCCATCCTGAACCTCAGAAACCCTTCCTACTAAACTTTTGTCAAAACCGATATGCTTCTGTAAAACTTTCAATTTTGACAAAAAAACAAAAAAGTTATGTCAGAAGTTTTTTTTGTAATCAGATTTTCATGGTTGTCTGTTTCTTTATATCTTATCTCCTCTCCTTGTCACTAAAACAGCTTTTCTTAGTTCACATTAAAGTGCCATATCTATTTTTATCAGGCACCACAAA